TCCAGAAGAGGAGTGCAACACATGAGAACACCTCTCTTCCTCATTGTACGAGTGTGAAAAGAGTGTAAGATATCTCCAAGCAATGTAGGCACCAGATTGCGTGACATGAAGATTTTGACAGCACTTACATCTATAAGTTGATCAGGATTAGGGAACAAGACCATCCCATAGATGAGAAGAGCTACAATATCCTCAAAAGCTTTCAATTCTAGAGAATTCCAGCAGCTTTGGGCCTTCTCAAACAAGAACTTTGCTAAGAAGCCTTTGACACCACTTCTAGTTTACCAATGGGTTGTGTCATCAGAGGAGTGCAAGTGCAGGGCTTGAGAAATCTCTTCTGGCTTTGGATCTCTTTCCGTACCATTGAAGGGTAGTTGATTGAGAATAGGGATCCTCAAGAATTGAGAAAATTCCTCCAAAGTAGGCACAAGCTGGTAGTTAGGAAATGTGAAGCAGTGGTGCAAAGGGTCAAAGAATTAGAAAAGAACTTTCATCATGTCTTCCTCTGTGTTGGAAGTGACTAAGTTGAGAAGACGACCATGCCTCTCGGTGAATGGAGAATTCTTAAGAATCCTTGAAGCTAGATCCTTGAGTTGTGGAGGAATTCTTACAATGTTGACTTGGATAGTTTTCCTGCGAAGTGAATCCATAACCTATAAAACAGGAACAAAGATGAACTTCCAAAAATCCTTGAAATGGTTAGTGGATGCATATGATGCTTCATGATGTCCATGATGTTATGCACAAGTATATATGTACAAGCAAATCACACAAGTTCCTAGTTTAGGCTTGCATGGGGTTTCATAGGTAAGTACCCTCTTGAAGTTTAGATGGCTCAACCTGTCCTAGAAATAGTAACCGGGTTCTAAGGAGCTCAATATCACTGGATTGTTTCCTTGTTCATTGTTTCAATTCATCCTCTTTATTGGTGACCGAAATATTCCAAGGAACCAACCCTCAATGAGTGTAGTATCGAGTATCTACCAACTTTGGACTGCACCAAAGCCGATCATCTCACTACATCCTAAAAGGCCAAGTTGGCCAAGTAAAGGTTCTAAAAGTTCGTTAGTGCTTCATGACATCACTCAGCGGCCCCGTATTCTCTTTGATTGACTCAAAGGCTACCGGTACCCACAAATATGTCACACTAACATAGCTATTTCTTAGACCGTGTCGGTATACCCCACACAGTTTCCACAATGTATTGCTATTTACCTATGAATGTTTCTCAAATCCGGGTAGAGGATTCAAACCCAAACAATAGAACCAAAGTGTAAAGCAATCAAGTCAATCAAGATAAGCAATTAAAGGTGATCTCAACCCTAAGGTAACCCCACTTTTTTATATTCCCCAGCAGAGTCGCCAGTTCTGTGATACGGTGGGAGAACTGACTTGAGGTTTTGCGTTTCGTTGCAAATGTTTCGGTTTAGCAAGAGTCGCCACCGACTTTTATTTTATCCAAAAGGAAAGGTAAAAAAGCACAGGAAAGACCTTTGAGATGTTTTCTTGAGTTCGGGGGGTAGATTATGAAAAGGGAAGATGCTAGCACCCTTTTCATCCATGGTTTTCTATGGGCTCTTAGTTACTTGTTTAGATCACTTACTTTGCTTTGACAATTGTTTAAAATGGTACTTTGTGTGGTTTTGAAAGTATTTTGAAAAGTGGCCATCGTTTAGGTAATATTTGTAATGATTCTCGTTTGTAAGAATGTATACAAAGATGTTTGTCTTTTGAAAAATGTTTCAATGTTTGAAAGTTGTTTGAAAATTGTTTTGAAATGTGTGCGTGTTTGTTTGAAAATAGCAAGGATTGTTTGAAAGAGAGCAAGTAACTAGGAGCTATCTACCCTACTCAAAAGTCTTTCTTGTACATTTTTATTCCTTTGACATTGTTGATTTACCATTGTATTTGGTAAACAACCCTATCTTTGGATGTTTAAACGGGACGGGAGTGGGTCATCGTATGACCATGATAGCAATGGTGCCAAGTATCTTTAGCATTTTGAGGGACTAAGATCATTTGTTTTTAGGAAACCTTTTGATAGCGTCATCGAGGGACTATGATCTTATTTTTGTATTGTTTTGCCAAGATACTTTGCATGCGTAACATGGCCATTTTATTTTAGGCAACCAGGTGGAGATACCTTAAGGGTGTTTGTATGCAAGTGTGTTTGATTTCATGCATGATTTTATCTTGAATTAGGATTTTCTATTTCATTGATTTTTATCTTGCCATACATATCTTAATTACTAGCATTTACATTTGAAAGCAATAAAATGCGGAAATATAAAATCCTACGCTATTACAATAATTAGGGGGTGGGGATACACACTTATACATGGGGATGGTTCAACGAGAAAAATAAATAAAAAAAGAAAATAACAAGGGGAAGAAAAAGAGAAAGAGAGAGGGGGCTAGTGCGCTGCTGAGAGGAAATCAGAAGTTCTGACCCAGGCCAGCTGCAGGATATCAACCTGTTAATGAAACTGTATGAGTCAGAACTTCTGACTCTGGTGCGCTGCAAAACAAAAACCTGTTAGTGGGGAGGTCAGAAGTTCTGACTCCCATGCGCTGCAAAACAAAAATTTGTTAGTGGGGAAGTCAGAAGTTCTGACCCTGTTGGGAACACAAAAAAATTCAGAAGTTCTGATATCATTGATAACAAAACAGGTCTCGGAAGTGCTGGCGTCAAAGTCATAAATTGGTTTCCCGTTGTGCTAGTCGGAACACCTGCAATTTGGTTATTCCTCCCCAAAACAGAAAACATGCCTAAGGCACTTTCAGCAGGTATCATAGCGCCTCAGAAGTAAAGAGAAACAGGAACAAAAAACAGAGGCAAGTATGCCTTTGCTAATTCTAACTGAGTTTCAGTTTCTTCAAGGCAGTTTTGAGCTGATTCGTTCTCCACTTAAGCATGCAGAGGCGTAAACAATCTCAGAATGTAAACAAAATCAGAAGCATGATATTTACATTGTGTTTATTGAGCATGCAAATCTGATGATGCTTAGCAGCATGGTGAGAGTCAGCAGGTGCTTACCTTGTTGTTGGAAGAAAATCTGTGAATTGGAGCTAGCTTTAGCTCTGATGATATTCTGGACAGGTTCTTTTTTCAATGGGTGGATGGAGAGTATATATATATATATATATATATATATATATATATATATATATATATATATATATATATATGGTTAGAAACTGTATGGACATTTTCTAGTCAAAAAGCAAATTGGGTATCAATGAAGTTTGGAGGCAGGAGGTTCAAAGTTATGAAACACTAGGAATTTTGGTAGAGTTTCATAACGTTCTCTTGCTAGAATTTTCTTTTTCTCTTCTAGCAACTTTTCTGGGTTTTTTTACCGGGGTTTTGAAGTGGACCATGATGCTCTATTTATAGGCAAAGCTTTGTGGATTTTTTTAAACGTTAAAAGGCGCCAATACCATGCAGTAGGTGTTAACTTGTTCTTGAAGGAAGTTTATGGAAAGTTGTGATAATGGATAGCTTTTCAGCCTAGGCCAGAACAGTAGGCGAAGATTAAGGGAAAGTGACACCCATAGGCGAAAAGTGGCACATAGATTCAAGCTTAACCTTGCATGAGGGTGTTGTTATGTTGCACGTGGAAAGACTCTTTGGACAAATATTCAAAAGTAGTTGTGAGCATTAATGGGCATTAAATGGTGATGAGATTGGTCAAGACTAAGAGATCTTGTAATGTTAGATTTGCATCATTACATATATCCTGAGCCAGCAGTTCTGCTTTACCAAAAAACAACGCAAACCAAACTCTGACCTTGGCCTCTTGCTGCCCCAGCAAATTCTGAGGGTTTTCTAGGTTTTCCAGCATGTTCTTTTGATTTGCCTCTGAAAACTATGGACTTAGAGATTCTGCTTCAGTATTATACCTAATCTGCTGGTCCCATTACCTTCTGATCCCAGTACGTTCTGAAGGAGTTTCAGGCTTTGTTGCCTTCTTTGCATTTCTCTAGCAAACTCTGGCTGAACTTGCGTAATTGCTGAAAGAGCCATGTTCTGTTTAAAGATTACGTGTTGAACCATGTTTACCACCCCTAATTGAGTTGGTGTAGCTGCTGAAGAGCCACCTTCTGACTGAATGTTATGTGCTGAGCCAAGTTTGCAACTTCTGACTGTTTCTGCCTGGAGATTGGTTCCGAAGTTCTGGAGTGCCATTTTTCTTAAATACTTAGAAAATCTCAAGTACTTAGAAATTTGGTTTTTGAACTTTAGCTGGAATACACCTCCCATTTCAAGCATGTTTTGCTGAAATAAGATTTTTTTGGGGTTTTGATTTTAATCAAAAGGTCAAGGTTTGGCTTTTCAGCGCAGATGATTGTTTTCCCCTTGGGAGTGATCTTCATGAAAAATTTGTAATTCAAAGCTTGGGATTAGATGGGGAGTAAACCTGAGAAAAATGAGAGGGAAAATTTTGGGGTACAACACCGTCCTTTCGGGTTTTCAGTCCATCGGGATACCCTTTTTTGTCCAAGCCGCCTTTTCAGGTTTTCAGCTTGCCGGGTGTACAGATTTTTTTATTTTATCCCTAATTTTTGCCTGAACCTTTTGGTTCACCGGGATGCCCTTGATTTGTCTAGGTGTGTCAACCTAGCGGGTCTCTTATGCATAGTATATTTTGACTATGTCCGCGTTCACAAGGTGCGGAAGGTCGTTGCCATCCATAGTGGTTAGGATCACTGCTCCACTGGAGAATATGCTTTTGATCACAAATGGTCCTTCGTATGTAGGACTCCATTTGTCCCTGGGATCACCTTGCGGTAGTTTGAGGCGCTTGATCACTAGATCCCCGACTTGATACACTTGGAGTCTGACCTTTTTGTTGAAAGCCTTGATCATCCGTTTTTGATATATTTGACCATGGCAGACAGCAGTAAGCCTTTTAGTTGACAATCTGACAGAAGTTAACACAGTCTGCTACTTCGCTCTCATCTTTGCAAGTTTGGATCTTGGTTGTTCGTCACACTTTATGAGCCTCGACACCGTAGATACTATTAAGGTAAGCATAATAAAAGTTCTCATGAATTGGGGCAGCTTATCTAAGTTAGGGGTTGGAGAAATTGATTTTGTGTTGTGCAGTTCTAGATTTTATCAAACTAGGCTCATGAATTTTATGAGGAATCTTGAAGTTGGTATTCCTTCCCTTCTTGAAGATGGAATCAATTTTCTTGTTTGTATCGGAGAATATGTTATACTTGAGGTCAAAATATTGCACCAATTTTATTCGGTTAAGAGGCAAAAAGTGTCGATGAATAATGATCAACATGTGCAATCACTGTGTAGAAAAGGGTGGGGAACAAATAAAGGCCAAATGATATCTATACTGACTCATGAAAATGCAGCCCAATGTAAGTCAATTCGTGAAACTTATGCTCAAATACATAGAGAAAATCTTCTTAAACATTTAGATAGAGAACTTTCAAGTGATTTTGAGAAAGATGTGTTGTTGTGGAAATTGCCTCCACAAGATCTCCACACGAAATTGGCAAGGCAAATTTCATTATGAGACAACTGGAAATTCTGTTTATAAAAGGTAAACTTTCAACTACTGAAAAGTTTCAATCCATCATTGATGTTTTCTTCCTAATTCTAAGTAAAGTGATTAACACCATGGAGCTTTCGTACACTGAGTTTGTGTCATTGATGAAGTTAGAGTTGATAATTTAAACCTTGCTTCAATTATCATTTATCGAAAATCTATGTGCTACAATTGTTAATTGTATGAATAAGATTGAAAATATGATTTTGTGGATCAGAACAAAGGAAAGGAAATTATTGGTGGCACGAGTGAGCATTGTCTTTGGTTGTTCAGCTAATGAGAAATTTAATGTGGGATATCTATTTATCATGATTAGTGCATTAAGCCTTGCTAATTTGATAAGTTCATTTGAATTTATAAAAATAATGAGTGTGGTGAAAAGTGAAAAGGCTCGACTTCTTGACAATTATCTTGTTGAGCCTACAATGGATTTTAGATTACGATGGAACTTTGGTGAGAATTTGGATTTGTCTAAAGCAATTAGATGGTACTCCTTCAAACTGTGGGATTTAAGAGATTTACTCAAGAGTCCAACTTTTATAACTGAACCTTAAGGACAAGGTTCCATGTGAACCGGACAGCAATGATAGAGTATGAAATTAATTTCTAGACAATTTAAAATAAATAAATTAAAAGAGAAATATATCTTAGTTGGGCTTATCTTAGATATTGTTTAGTTAGTCTTTTAGCCATTGGACTTTTAGTTCACTATCCACTACTACTATCACTATATATGCACTCTTATTGAGAGAGTGAAAATTATCAATCAAATGAAGAATGTCTTTTATTCCTTTCATTTTATTTAGTCATTTTATTGTTCTTTCTCTTTTATAGCAGAAACTCTAGTTCATAGTTTTGATTAGGGGTGCCAAAACAGGTCTGATTCGTTGGATATGTCCGTTTTACCCACACTTTAGTATGAGGCGGGCCAAGAATTTAGGTCATCACCCTCTAATGTGACCGTCATGTCCCGCCTTTTTTTCTTCGCGGGCTTTTACAGGCATGAGCATTAGCACAAAATTTTGCATTTTTAGGCCTAAAAGGTAAAGTGCTCGCGGACTTTCTCTGTCCCGCCGCACTCATTTTTTTGCAAAACGAACCTAAATTTTAGATCTTCATCCTCAACTTTGTCTGTCCCCACTCCACCCTATTTTTTTGTAGACTATTGCGAGACGAGTCTAAACGGAGCGGAATCCGTTTACCACCCATTGTTTTGATAGGAAAATCTTCTAACGCATCCATACAATGGTCTTAGCTATTTAGGATTTTTCTTCTTCATGCGTTCTTCAATGAGTGCAGTTTAATATATTATTACAAATTACATACGAGTACCTATTACAATAAAAACTATAGTTTGAATTTTAGGTTACTCAATCATAATTGTCCTTTAAAAAATGTGAGACAAAGTGTTTTCCATGCTTCTGAGTCTGGCTTCCGTAACGTTGCTTTTACCTTTGCGTTTAAAGCAAAAGTTTCCTGCAATTTCAAACACCCAAATATTAATAGGTAAACATTTTTATATACCATTTAATTTAATTGGATATTAGTATTTTCATCTAATTAAATAATATTTTATTTAATATTATATCATTTTTTAAATCATTTTATTTAATTACTAACATTGTGATCAATATTCACATATTTATTATAGTATCAAACAAAAAATTTAAAAAAATAAATTTATCTAATTTAGTACACATATCTGAACCATTTCATTTATTCAAATGAAATTTTAATTAAATATAATTAACAATATATAAATTATTAAAACAGAAAATACGCGATATACGGATAATGTAAAAAAAAATTATACTACCATTCAATAAATGACGTGTATCACGTCACGTTATGTTAGAATATAGTTTGGTTCTATATCTTAATAATAGTTTTGATAATAACAAATACATGATATATATAAAGAACAATTATGTTCTCTAATAAATTATTTAAATATGTAGAGAAATTCTGATAAAAAAACATAGAAGTTTGCGAATAAATTACGCTAAGAAGATCTGATAAGAATATTTGTACAAACTAAATTAAAGTATCACGCTCAATAGAAAAAATTCTGATGTTATAATTTCTGAAGCAGCAAAGTTGTAAACTAAAATTTGATGAAGCAATACTCTGATGATCTAAAGTCTCAACGTTATTATTCTTATTCTGATAAGATTTTAAAGAAGTAAAATTCTGATGCGTTACATTTCATTCATTACAAATCAACGAGTAACGGCTGAAATCAGACAAGATCTGTATTTTTGGAAAGTGCATTAATAATATTTTAACAACCTTCTAAAAACATCTCCTAATGTTTCAAATGGATCTAAAGAGCTTCACATATATAAAGGAGTTCATAAAGGGTGATCAAAAATATTTGCGCATACAATAGAAATATTCATAAGACTCTTTTATCTATTATATTGTTCATTGTGCTTTAACATTGTGTAAACATCACAGTTGTGATATAGTTAATTAGAAACATTCTTGTATACATTTTTTATTCACATTTTGTAATTCTTTGAGAAATCAAATTATGGTTTAGTTTCACGAAGACATTGACGGTAGTCTTTGTGAATTGTAATCAAAATTTTGATTAGTGGATTAAGACTTCGATTGAGAGAGAAAAAATCACTTTGACAGATGGACTGGAATAGTTTGAATTCAAACGAATAAAGATAATCAAATGTATAATACTGTTTTTAATTTTCAAAAACCCTAATACAAACCCTCTTTCTTATATATTTTTATCCTTCACAATCATATTTTTACACCGACTGTTCATGTGTATTTATCACATATTTTTATACTTAAAAGTCTATAAGAGTATAAGAGTATATATCTTTCATAATATTTTAAAATTCTTAGAAGATCTGATCTTGGTATGAGATAAGAATCTAGTGCAGTTCACATTTAAATAGCACCAGGTGCAGTGCAATCCACAGATATTACCGATATAGAATATTATCTTGGTGCAAAAGTTTATATAAGTTTTTAATAAAGGTTTAATGGACATGCACAGTATACTATTCTGAGAATTTTAAAATATTCTGAAAGATATATACTCTCATACTCTCGTAGACTTTTAGTATAAAAACATTCTACTTGCGCCTAAATTAAATACCTTATCATCATATATAAGAAATATCATTCAAAATCATAACATTCATACAAAATAATTTTAAATTTTAGAAATTTTATTAGGTATTAAGAATTTTTATGTTGAATCAATTCATATATTAAAATATAAAAATTTTATAAAAAAATTATCTAAAATTTATAACATACCTGAATTAAATTACAATGAGTGAGACGATCAATAAAGTGAAATAATATGTCAATCGTAAATTCAGGGTGGCCTTGAATCCCTAATATATGATCTCCATATCCAAACATCTCAATTCCAGTTTTTTCAGACCAACCAATAATCTCAGCTTCTTTGGGCAAATCTCGAATCTAATTAACCAGTATATTTTAAACAAATTAATGCAATCACTTAATTAAGATTAATAATAAAAAAAAGAGTTAGAAATGCACATCACATACAAACCTCATCACGGTGACATTGGAAGAGTGAAAGGCTTGATGGCAAATTATTTGAATAAGATGATTGTAACAAGTTGATGCTAGTGACATCAATGTCCCAACCAGCTGTAGATCGAACAACTTTACCTCCTAATGCTCTCCCAATTATCTATTAATAATACTTATTTAAATGGTGAATGATTCGATAATAAAAATCTAATAGTAGATAATTTAATTAATTTTTAAAAAATATTTTGATATTATTTTAAAAATTATGATTGAACTTAATTCTACTTTAATTTATAACTTTTTATTTGATAACACATATTTAAATTATATTATGTGATATGAAAATTTTAACACGAATCATAATAGATAATAAAGTTGGTTTGAATAAATTTGGATTTTTAATTTTTAAAAATTATTTTATAATGAAATTTTAAAAATTATTTTTTGAAGGATAAAATAAAATAAAACATGATCATCTTATTTTTAAAATATGTTTTAAAGATAATAAAACTTGTTTGATAGATTACATTTTAAAATTATTATAAAATATTAAAAATTTGTCATTAACAAAATACCTTTTCGTTTTTTTTTTTACCTCTTTCCAATTTCTAAAACAAAAATAAAAATTTGTAAAACCTATATTAATTTTCCAATTTTCAAAACTTGTAGAATATTTTTAAACATAATTTTGTAAAAATATGTAATTAAACAATTTTTCTTATTTTCAAATTTAAAAAATTAATTTTCTTAGAAAACTAAATCAAACATGTATTTTGAGTTTTTTTTTTCTTTGAAGACTCATATATATTTTAATTGGATTAATTATTAATCCTTTATTATTTTGGTAGAAATGGAAGGTTGAAGAAAAATGAAGTTATGAATGAAAGAACTATGTACCTGATGGCCAAAGCAAATGCCAAGGATTTTTTTGTTGAATGAATTCAAAGTGTGAATGAGAGTGAGGAGTTTAAGGATCCAAGGGTCATTGGCATGTGCATCATGACAGCTTCCAGTGATGACAAAACCATCGTACAAACAAACATCATCTTCTTGAGGAAATTCTCCATTAACAACCTTGTATAGGTCCCATGTTTCTCCTTCCTCAGCCAACATTTTTGTGAAGAAACCATAACAACCTCCATGTCTCTTTAACAAGTACTCTGAATCCTCTCCACACATTAAAATTCCATACCTCTTCTTCCTCTCTTTTTCTAACATGTCTTATTTCTTAAAGTGATAGAGAGAGAGAGAGAAGAAATAGGGAACACAAGTGGCTTGGTAATGGTATGGTGCGCATGTTTAGTTTTATATGCCATCAAAAGAGTGTACCTATCAAATTGGCCCATGTCTTATGACCTTGTCTACAATGACTAAAACGTGAATTATTACATTGATATATATTCTTTGTAAGAATATTTAATAACAACATTATTTAAATGACATCAAAAAATATTATTCACATAATATAAAAATGTATTATTTAAATAATATAAAATAATATTATTTAGAAAATGTGAAAAGTATTATTCAAATAATATGAATGGTGTGTTTTTCAAATAATATGAAGTGATATTATTTAAATAATACCAACAAAAAATTATTCAAATAATTTGAAAAGTGGTGTTATTCATGTTGGTGCAACGTAATGAAGTGGGAGAAGAAGAATGAACAAAGAATGATAACAAAAGATTACTATTGTATATCAAAAAGGAGATAAAGTAGGGTACAATATTGATAGTCTATGATAGCATATTTATATTAAATATTGAAAATGTCAAAAGGCCTTATTAAAGGATAAGCATTGGGAATTGTAGAAATTAACTAAATTATCTTTCCAATACCATCCCTTAAACTATCAATCTCAAGCGAAGAAATTGGTATGTCTTAACTGCCTTCGTCAGAAGATCTGCTAGTTGTTTCTGGGTGTTGCAGTGCAGAACTTATAACACTCCTTTCTGCACTTGACTTCTGAGAAAATGATACTTCGTCTCAATGTGCTTGCTTCTTCCATGTAGCACTGGATTCTTGGCCAGATCAATTGCAAACTTATTATCAATCATCAACTTCAGAGGTTCCTCAACTTCAACCTTCAGATCATGCAAGAGATTCAGAAGCCAAATAGCTTGACAAGCAGCTACAACACCTGTGATATACTCAGCTTCACACGTCGACAGAGCCACGACAGGATGTTTCTTGGAACTGCAGGAAATTGGACCTCCCAGAAATTTAAACAAGTATCCAAAAGTACTTCTTCTGTCCACTCTGTCTCCACACCAGTCAGAATCAGAATAACTTACTAATTATGGTTCTGTCTTTCTTTCAGAAGGAAACATCACTCCATATTTCAGAATTCCCTTGATATATCTCATAATTCTGACAACGGTTCGAAAATGAGACCACTTTGGATTACTCGTGAATCTGCTAACCAATCCAATTGCATAACAAATGTCAGGTCTAGTATTGTATAAATACCTTAGAGAACCAATCAACTGTTTGAAGGTTGTAGTATCAACAGAATTACCATCAGAGTCAAAATCCAATTTTTGATTGGTTTTTGATGGTGTCACAGCAACTTTATAATTCTGCAGCTTAAATCTCTTCAGAAGTTCAAGTTCGTACTTCAACTGATGCAGAATGATACCCTTCTTTTAGTACAGAATCTTCACCCCTATGAAATATGTCATAATTCCTAGATCTGTCATCTCGAACTCATTCATCAGAACTTCTTTGAACTTCTTTATATCTTCTGGGCAGCTTCCTGTTAGCAAAATATCATCAACATAGAGACACACCATAATCATATTGTTATCAGAGTGTTGCACATAAACGTCATATTCCATCTCACATTTCTGAAACTTCTGCTTCTTGAAAAACGAATCAATTTTCAGATTCTAAGCTCTGGGCGCTTGCTTCAGTCCATACAGAGCTTTATTCAACTTGTATACCATTCCTTCCTAATTCTTTTTCACAAATCCAGGAGGTTGTGACACGTAAAATTCTTCCTGTAATAGACCGTTCAGAAATGCAGACTTCACATTCAGATGTATCAAAGGCCAATTTCTGTTTGCAGCTAAAGCAATCACCAGTCTGATTGTTTCATGCCTAGCTACAGGCGCAAACACCTCAAAGTAATCTAGTCTAGGTTTCTGAAGAAAACCTCTAGCTACTAGTCTAGCTTTGTGCTTGCCAATTAAACCATCTGGCTTAAGCTTCAACTTAAAAACCCATCTGACACTGATGGTTTTTTTCTTATCTGGAAGCTTAGTCAATTTCCATGTTTTGTTCCTTTCAATTGCCTCAAGTTATTATTTCATGGCATTCGTCCATTCTTTCTTCTTGAGAGCTTCTTCAGTGCCCACTGGTTCAGAATCTACTCATGGCACACTGAACGACTTCTCCTTCAGAATCAACTTCATTATCCTGCAATATATCGAAATCTACAAACCTTCTTGTTTTTTGTCTGATTCTTTGTGGTCTTTGAGCTTGTTCTGAAACTGCACCAGAACTACTACCTTCAGAGTTACCACCTTCAGAGTTTTCCCTTCCATATCTATGATCATCACTAGATTCTGGATCATTATCAGCATTTGGATCAGAATCAGCATCTGGATCAGAATCTCCTTCTGACTCATCTTCAGAATCTTCAGAACTTTCTAAACATCTTCAGAAGCTAACTCTAGTGTTGGCACTACACCAGAATCTGATTGAGACTTATTCCAATCCCATGCTTCAGACTCTTTCATCACAACGTCTCTGTTGACTTCAACTTTATTAGTTTTTGGACAATAAAGCTTATACGCACATGTATTGTGATACCCCACCAAAACAGTACTTTGCTTCTATCATCCAGTTTTTGTCTTCTAGCTTCTGAAACGTGTTTGTAACATACAGAGCCAAACACCTTCAGATGACTAACACTCTACTTATCTCCAGTCCATTTTTCTAAAGGAACAACTTCCTTCAGCTTCTTCGTTGGACACCTGTTCAAAATATATGCTGATGTGGCAACAACTTCTCCCCATAACACGTGAGGTAGCTTTTTTTTCTTTCAGCATGCTTCTGGTCATATGAAGCAAAGTTCTATTTATTCTTTCAGCAAGACCGTTGTGCTGAGGAGTATATGGAGCAGTAACCTCATGTTCTATTCCATTCTCCTCACAGAACTTCTGGAACTCTGTAGAATTATACTCACCTCCACCATCCATTCTCAGAATCTTCAACTTCTGACCACTCTGCTTCTCAGCCTTCACTTTGAACTTCTAGAACTCAGTAAATACTTCATGATTGAACTTGATGAGTGTTACCCATGTCATTCTTGTGAACTCATCCACAAAAGACACAAAATATTTGTTTACTCCAAGTGAAGGTACTGGAAATGGTCCACACGCATCAGAATGTACTACTCCCAGAGCATGCTTCGCTCTAGGGGCTACTTCTGATGCAAATAGCAATCTGGGTTGCTTGCGTTTCATGCATATCTCACATGACTTCTCAGGCTTCACAATCTTCGAAATACCATGTACAAGCTTCTTAGAGCATAGATGCCCTAAGCTTCTATAGTTCAAGTGCCCCAATCTCTTATGTCACAGCTTATTGTCATCTTCAGCGCCTTCTGCACTAAGACACGTTGCTTAAGTTGTTTCTACATTCACCTTGCATGTTCTGTTGCTTCCTTGTTCAGACTTCATAATCAACTTCTGATTGGAATCATACAACGTCAAGAGATTGTTTTTCATAACAACTGATAAACCTTTCTCAATGAGCTGACCCACGCTCATCAGATTGCTTCTAATACCAGGAACATATCAAACGTCTTTGATCAGAATGTCTTTCCCATTCTTCACTCTAACTCTGACATCTCTCATACCTTCTGCATTAAGATACTTATTGTCAGCACATATGATCTTTGTTCTCCTTCTGGAGTTAAAGTCTTTCAGCCATTGTTTGTTTCCAGTTAAGTGACTTGAACAGCCAGTGTCCATATATCACCAATCTTCTGAGCATTTTCCATCAGAATCAGAAGCCATTAGTAGCACAGGTTCATCATCAGAGTTTCCCTTAGCCATATGCGCTTCTTCTGATTTCATTTCCTTGTTTGACCTACAATCTCTGGAAAAATGGCCAAATTGCTTACAAGAGTAACATTGAATCTTCTTTTCGTCATACCTCTCCTTTCCTTTATGATATATCTTATCATCAGAAGTTAAGGTTTCTGACTTCTGAAATCTATCACCATGTTTATTCTGCTTCTGGTCTTTCTTGACAAAGGAAGCCTTCAAAGCTTGCTCAGCTTCCCTCTCAGAAGTTCTCTCAGTCAGACGTAACTCCTATGCTTCTAAACTGCTTTGCAATTCTTCTATTCTCATGGTTTCCAGATTTTTAGAGTGTTCAATAGAAACAATAATATAATCAAACTGAGGAGTAAGCGACCTCAGAATCTTCTCTATGATTACCTGTTCAGACAGAGTTTCTCCGCACGCCTTCATCTCGTTAGTGATCAGGATCACTCTGGAGATATATTCAGAAACTTTCTCATTGTACTTCATGTTCAAGTTCTCATATTGCTTTCACAGGGATTGAAGCTTCACCTTCTTTACGGATGCGTCACCACCGTAACATCTCACCAGTAAATCTCATGCCCCTTTTGACGTTGTCGAATCAGCAATCTTCTTGAACACACTTTCATCCACACACTGATGGATATAGAACAGAGTTTTCTGGTCCCTCTTCCTCATAACCTTCTCAGTAGTTTTTTGTTCTTCAGTTGCATCTGCTGCAGCTGGTACATAACCATCTGTAGCCAGATCCAGAACATCTTGCGCACCAAACAGCACACGCATTTGTATCATCCATTTGTTCCAGTTTTTGCCATTAAAAACTGGGAGTTTGGTGTTCAAACTACTGCCCCCACTCATCTTTAACCTTGCACAGATTTTTCAGGTCTTCAAACACATTGTTTCCCAACCCACAAAATTAGATTCTGTTCAGATTTGTTCAAGATTTCAACAAAAAAAATCAATGAACCAAAATCAAACACACAACTCATAATCACTAGTGTTTCTCAGGAAAAACAGAATCAAATGCTCTAGATACCAATTTGTTGGTGCAAGGTAATGAAGTGGGAGAAGAAGAATGAACAAAGAATGATAACAAAAGACTATTGTTGTATATCAAAAAGGAAATAAAGTATGTAGGATACAATATTGATAGTCTAGGAT